CACATCGGGAACACCAGATTCAGTAGACTAGGTTGGAGGAGATGCAGGTGAAGCTCTGTCTCACCTGGAAGGAGTGTTTAGGGTCCTGGATGGAGATGAGGGAGGTGGTGTGTGGAGCAAGCGTTGGCGTCTTTTATGGTTACAGAAGAAGGTATGGGGGGCAGGGTGGTTGGATTAGTTGGTGGGGAGTGTGGCGCAAACTAAGGGGTGGCGAAGGGATGGTCCATGCAGAACGCAGAGAGGGGTGGGGGAGTGGAAGATGTTCTGGATGGTGGGGTGTAATTGGAGCTGGTGGATGTGTTTGAGGGTGCAGAGGCTGGTGGGGTGGAAAGTGAGGACAAGGGGGACTCTATCTTTATTAATTTTGGAGGGGAGTGGTGTGGGTAAGGGCTGTGGAGCAGGGAACGGAGGAGGCGCGGTGGAGGGCTGTCTGGATGACAGAGGGGGGAAAGAACATTGAAATAGGAGGACATCCAAGATGCTTGGGTGTGAAACTCTCTTCAACAGAGTCGATGTGAAGAAGACGGAGGAATTGGCAAAACAGGTTGGAGTTTTTGCAGGATACTGGGTGGGAGGAGGTGTAGCCTAGGTCGCTATGGGAGCCTGTGGGTTTATAGTAAATGTCGATCTGTAAACCATCACCAGAAATGGAAACGGAGAGGTCATGAAAGGGGAAGGAGGTGTCTGAGAAAGGCCAAGTGAATTTGAAGGCGGGTTGGAAGTTGTTAATAAAGTTGATGAACTGCTCCAGTTCAGCCTGAGTGCAGGGTGTAGCACTGATGCAGTCATCAATGTAATGGCAGAAGAGTTGGGGAACAGTATCGGTGTTCATACTGAAGAGGGACAGTTCGACAAAACCAACAAACAGGCAGGCGTAGCTGGGGCCCACGCGAGTGCCCATGGCAACCCCCTGGATTTGGAGAAAGTGAGAAGAATTGAAGGAAAAGTTAGTGAGGGTGAGGACTAGTTTGGCAAGGTGGAGGAGGGTATTGGTTGGGGGGTTGCTGGACAGGGCTGCCAGAAAGGGGAAAAAACCCAAGGGCCTGTAGGCTGTCCTTATGGGGTACGGACGTGTGTAGGAATTGAACGTCCATAGTAACGATGAAGTGCTGGTGGCCAGGGAACTGGAAGTTTCCAAAGTGTTTCAATCACATCCTGCAGGTTTCTTGTTGATACCTTACAAAGAACATGATAAACTCGAAGCTGTAAACTCTTAAATAGACAGCCATAAAAAAAATCAGAAATTGTTTATTACAACAGTTTGTGAATTGTCACTATTTTCTTAGCAGTTCCTTGGTAGAATAAACTTGTACTATGTAGATTTAAAATCTGGGCTCAGGGCATCCTGAACTCCTTACTTTTGAAATTTAGTCACAGTTATGTAAGGAAGTTTAGTAGTCACGATGCACATTTACAGCAAATGGAATGAATGAGCCACTTGTCAGTATTTGCTGATGTGGTTGAGGGAAGAATGTTGACCAAGACATTGGAAAGACCTCCACACTTCCCCTGTCCTGATGAAGGATGTAAACCCAAAACGTCAACCTTCCTGCTCCTTTGATGCTGCCTGACCTGCCATGTTCCTCCAGCTCCACACTGTATTGACTCTGACTCCAGCATCTGCAGTTCTTGCTATGTCCTCCCAATATTGTATGACAAATGTGAGTTACTAAAGACAAGTTAAAGAGTCAGCCTTGGCACATCAGGAAAACACCCTTGTAAACCAATTCAGTTAATTTTCTTTAAATCTTGCAACACATCGTCAGCTGATAAATGACTACTTGAATGAGTAGTGCCTAGAGCAGTAGCTTTAGCTGATCACAAGGAATTTGATGAACATAATAATTTATTGAATTAATCTCAATTGTTAGCACCTTCACTGAGTTTTTGCTCCCCAGGCAGACAAAATGCTTAGATAACTATTAAATCACATTCCGTCAGTATCCTACCCAGCATTTATCCAACTAACTTCTCAAGATAGGTAACCTGAGCATTTATTATACTGTACTTTTTCAGGGAGCTTGCTGATTGCCTGTTGTTCTTACGTTTCTCCAGACTGTACCTCAAAAGCACTTCATTGGCTTTGACACATTTTGGGACTTTACCCGAAAGGAAAAGGTGCTACGTAAATGCAATTCCTATCTTATGTTTCAGCTTATCACTGACAGGAGGACTGGGGGCTTGTTTCCTCTAACCTTTCCAATGTGAAGTGCTATGTGCTGTTAAAGAACTCCTAAAAACAATGAGTACTATTTTCCCTGTGATTGTCTGTGTGTATGGAACACTGGTGTGTATAGGTTATCTCACTTTTGAAAGAATGTGCAGAAAATCAGAATACATTCTGTCAAATAGCAGACATAAATCTCATCTGTTTGTGCTTTAAGTGGGCTCCCTCTTCCATTAATGTGTACTGTGTCCTTGAGCATATAATAGCACATATAAAAGTATGAATAGGAGTTGGCCATTAAGCTTCACAAATCTGACTGCTGCTCAAGTTGATCATGTCCAATCTTTTTCCTTCGACTCCAAGTACTTACCATTGATCTGCATCACTTGATACTATTACCTGCAAAACTCTATTGATGTCTATCTTGAAAGGTTCAATTGACTGAGCCTTCAAAGCCTTTGGGGGGGTGGGGAGGAAGCTTTTTTTTAACCTGGTTTTTACTACTGTTTGTTCAGAGAAAGTGTCTCCTGATTTAACTCCGAAACAGCCTCAGTTCCAACTGTCGGGTTGCTATTCTTTCTCCTGGTTTGGCCAAAAGGAGGAAACGCATTCCTTATGCCTAACCAAAAATTACTTAATGATTTTAAAGATCTCCACTTATCTCAATGTCAGGCAAGAATCCCTGAGTGCCCGCCATTGGCACTTTCCTCATGAAGTTAATCGAAGGAGCAGGATGCAGATTTTCCCCTCTCAGGGCAATGCATTATGAACCCCGTGCAGTTGCACTTTATATTTGAGTCAAATTATAAAGAGGACAAATTCTAAAAAAATCAGAATTAGAATTTTCTTTGTTTTAATGAGGTTTGCATCTGTTAAAAGGGCTGTTTTTGCACATTTGTATGATAATTTTAGAGCTATTTCTGGATTCTGAAAGTCTTCCTAATGGTTGGAGGAGGATGCAATAATTGGTGACCTAAAAATGGAAGAAAAATCTAAAATTTAAATCAATTTTTGGAAGCTACCAATTTATTTACAAGCACACACAAAAAAATGCATCAAGCACTTTAAAGCATTAGTCTCCAAGCAACCCTATAGGCAATTATATTTCAATAAAATTTCATCAAGCTCATTACTTCATTTCCTTATATCCAGGCAATTTAAGAGCCTGCCATCCATCATTAATACATTGTGAAGTCCATCTGTAGCTTAGGAATCAGAAAGGAAATGAGTTGCAGCAATGCTATTATAGATTCCAATTAGTTATACAACTACGTGCAATGAGAAAAGATTGACTTTGCCCTCCAGAGGAGGTTAGATTAAAATTGTAGCGACTCAATTCTATATCGTTCAGCAATGGACACTCTTCCAGCAACGTTAATGAGGTCAACTGATAGATCAGTTTCCTGTTAATCAGCATCAAAATAAACACAAAATAAACAAGTGTGCCATTAAGCAACCCCCATTCACCAATCATCTGGTTAGTTTACGTTCTGTTAGCACCTATTTGTCTCCTGATCCTGCCCTGGTCTGGATCCAGAGAACAGGACATCAGGTATCTTACCAATCCAGACATCAATCAAGATCAGATGCAAATCTGGACCCACTGTGACGCACAGGAAAGATGATCCAGGTTGAGCGAGCTCAATCATCACAGCCTGAGGTCATTGCTACAGGAAGTATCCTTGGCTCAAGTAGCTCCATTCAGGATCTGTCACAAGGTCACTTGAAGTTCATTTGCTTAAAACATGACAACATTTAGTCCTATTAACAAATTCCACAATAAAGGAGCAAGCTGTGCCAATCTACAGCAGTTTAGGAACATCAACTACACTCAGATTTGAAGATGACTTACCAGCCCAAGTACCAAGTCATGATCATCACCCATGACAAAAAAGACACTCCCATGACTCAGCACTCCACCATCAACATTCACCTCTAACTGGTAAACCAACAATATCCAGATATCAATATAAGACCAGGGCAGAGGCAGCATATTCAATAAATGGTTCACCTTAAAACTGTGTTGACTTCACTCACCACTGATCAGAATGGCTGCAGCTGCCTTACTACTCACATTTAACATGTTCCAGAAGAAAGCAGTTTTTCTAGATCAGCATCCCTACCAATGACCTCACTACTCATCAGCACTGTGGTCAGGGCACAGATTAACGAAAGGACACTGCAGCAACTCACTCACTTGGGAATACTTCTAACCCTGGCTGACTTTGCTTTTAAACTGAGAATAATGCTCCCTCTACTCTTTTACACTGAAAGCAAAACATTATCCCCGTCAAACACGCCTAGGACAGGGACCGCACAGGGTTTGATACAGAGTAATGCTTCCTCTACTCTTTTAAACTGAAAGTAAAACACTATCCCCATCAAACACTCCTAGGACAGGGATCGCACAGGGTTAGATACAAAGTAAAGCTTCCTCTACTCTTTTAAGATGAAAGTAAAGGTAGCCTGGCAGTCTGATGGTAAAGGAGAGAGCAAAATACTGCAATGTCACAACAGCATCACCTCCAGGTTTGGCATCTCCTTGACTCAGGTAAATCTACTCAGTCTAAGATTATCACAGAGACCAAAGCCAGAAACTATGTGACAAACAGCAGTGCGGGCGAACCTTCATTTGAAGGATAACAGTGGTTCATGAAGACCCACAATCCTCTCTCATGTCATCAAGGGAGAGGCAATAAGTGCAGCTTTGTCTATATTTAAAAAGAGAACGGCATGAATGCTATTGCAATACAGATGTCATTGCTGTTGTTCAGCTTTACAAACTCAAAGCTCACAACAGCTAGAAAGAAACATTCTGCGACAAAGTGCTTACCTTCACACCTGCCATCTTTCTCCTCGTAGCCAGCACTGCAAGTACATTTCCCAATCGGTACTAACCAGTCACCTTCTGCACTGCAGTGCATCCTCGGCGGATTTCCCATTTCAGCTTCCGAGTCATTAACGCACGATCCTCGCACTTCCACCAGCGTCGAAAAGGCAGCTTCTGCCACTGTGTCTGGGAAGACAGCCAGACTTTGCACGGTGGAAAGGCAGGTTTTGTAATAAACTCTCACTGAGACCAGTGCCACACAAGCCCCTACGTCCTGGAAGCCGAGATGAAATCCTTTCCTGCCAAGGTGCTCAATTTCTCGAACTTCTGTGTTGAGTTTCATTTTGCGTTCTCCAAGATCTCCTTGCGTGAAGCTTTCATCCGCTGCGATGGTGTCAATTTTCACATACTGGCTTTCTTCAATGTTTCCACCGAGATCGGTGTCTGACTCAATGTAGTGAAGGTTAAATGTCTCTTTGCACGTCCCAGCCACTCCTGGGATGCTGTTACAGTCTCTTAACGTGAACTTCAGCTCAATGAAGATCCTCTGGCCATTTCTCCGTGTAATCCAACCAGTCTGAAGCCAGTTGTTTTGATTGGGAGCCATGACATTACAGACCTGATAAGTGCGAATTGGTTTATAGTTTTCATCCACTCCACTGATCTCTTCCCACTGAAGACAGAGAATAAAACAACGTTTAAAAATCTCAAAACAAGATGCACTCCCTCCTCACTTATTAGTCATATTCGACCATTGCCATTGTCTTTATTCCTCAAGACTCAAATGAAATTCATGGCCAGGATTGAAGAGATGATTTAATCTAGGGTCAAATAAGTTCTTAGTAAAGATAGACAGAAAGCATTCCTTCTCGTGTGGGGTCCATAAAAAGAGGGTAGAACTTTGAAATTAGAACTAGCCTCTTTACAGTGTGTCAGCAAGCAGTTCTTCACACAGAAATGGAAATCTGGCACCTTCCCCAGAAAAGCTGTTAGTGAGAGTCCAATTAAGAATAGAGATTAATAATGTTTGTTAGGTATTAAGTAAATACGCAGGTGGATTCAAAGTACAGGTCAAACACAATCTAATTGAATGGAGGTGCAGGTTTGAGGAGCTGAAAGGCACATTCCAATATTCTATCATATGTTTCTGTGACTGGAAATGGGAGGTGGTTCAATATTTGTAAGCCTTGTGGTTAGCATAGACCCAAGTTTATGTAAGAAACGTTGCAGCAGGTACTGTGTATCCAACCTCCCTTTATCCTGTTTTATTCCCACGTATTGTTCAGTTTTATTAAAAGTTTTATGGGAATTATTTTCTGTTCCCACTTTTGCACACAAATAGAGCCTCAATGTGATCATTTTCTTACCAGAGACTGTTCGTTAAAAGCATAATTACATTTTTCCACAGCAGGGCACTGCTTCTTTACAAAAACTGGATTCTAATATTTCACCTAAAGGCTGAAGACAGGGGGGATATAACACTGCATCGAACCACTGCTGTGCCTTGAAGGCACATTCAAATCCTGACTGAACCTATCGGATGAAATTCTCTTTTCTTTAACCTTTTGAACTAAGGTTTTGATGAACTCCCGTAATCCTTCCCCCATCTCCATCTTGTTTTGATTCGACACAGCACATAAATGTCACACTACAAGAACACACACTTAATGTAAACTACATTTCTGAATAATCTATATTGCAGAATAGATGTTTGCAATTGTCTTGTAGCTGTTCAGTCACAGCCTCATCATAGCTTAGTTAAACGTTTTCTTGACCACAGTGAAGTTGTAACTCTATTATCCAATACAGACTCAATTATAGCAATATCATAATTTATTAATCGTTCAGTTTGAAATTTTCCTCTCCTTAACGTATTTCTCATTTGAGAAACAAATCAGATGATGTGTTGGCTTATAAAGATAGCAATCTACACTCTGTTCTGCTGAATATCTGTTGTTTTACTCTGATCCAGCAGTCATTGGTCAAGGCCACAACGTTTTAAGTTTAATGAAAATAGACTCTGGCAGATTGACAGTTTAGCTATTGTCTGTTTTGTGGAAGTTTATTTTTTAGTTATGTTCAGAAACAATTGTCCAACACTTTCACTTCATCTGATGAGGATGTTTTTGGGATTGAAATACATGTTATCAACTTCAGTTTGCAGCTGAGAAGCAATCGGCATACAAGGTTGGTTTGCATCTGTAAAAAATTGCCAACCGTGGAGTCTGTAGGTTTGGCCTTTTAATATATTGACTGGCTGACAGTCCGTGTTTATCTTCAAACTCTAAATGAGTGAGGAGACAGTGAGTGAGACCAGAAGTCTAGGAGCACTGCTACAGCGGCACTGTATTTCCTAAGCACCATGAGAAATCTCCAGAAGATTTCATACTTCCACTGAACAGCTTTTCTTACCATTTCTAAATGTCAACAAACATAAACTGCACCATTAACCAGGAAGTCTCCCATGAGATAACACTGAGCAATTTAATGGATGAGGAGCAAATTGGGAAGCATGCCTGAAATAATGTTTTGATCATTTTAGACGTTACTTTTAAGTGGATTAAAGTGGATATGAGGAGTGCCAGGTCAGCTATGATCCTACTGAAAGGCAGAGCAGGCTTGAAGGGCAGAATGGCCTACTCCTGTTCCTATTTCTTATGGTCTTAATATTTCGCAAATTATTTTGCAAAATACACAGAAATTCACACATTCTCAGAGGATATTGATTGTGGAATTCCAAGATTTTGCTTTCCTTAAAGTGAGGTGTCAGTGTTTAAATTCTATGACAACAGTAAATGAATGGTGTATTACTGTGATATTTTCTTGTATCTATGCATGCTCATTTGGAAAGCTAAGGGCAGACATTGGGTTTTACAATATGTACAAGTTGGAGGTAGCTATTTTGCTGGAAAGGGGAAGGTGGGGTCTAGCCGTGCGATTGAGTGACTCTGCCTCAGTCGCACTAGGATTATCCTGGAGGAAGATGGCATCAGCCAGAGGGAGGGTCCTCTGTTCTGATATCCCTGCACCAAGGGAATCCAAGGAAGCTGATGGTGGCATTTGATGCTAGCTTGCCAGAGCATTCCTACGGTCTGTTGAAAGTAAGGGATCTGAAAGCGGAGGGAGTAGGCTCCAAAGTTGAAGCAAGTTGACGTTGATTTTCTAATGTCCTTTAGGGAAGGAAACTGCCATCCTTACCTAGTCTGGCCTACATGTGACTCCTGACCCACAGCAATGTGACTGACTCTTAACTGCCCTCTGGGCAATTAGGAATGGGCAATAAATTCTGCCCTAGCCAGTGACACCCTCATCCCGTGAATGAATAAAAAAACGAATGCCTGAGTGTGTTTCAAACAGATCTCTGCAAACCCACTATCTGAGGCAGCTAGAGGATGGCCTGGCTCCATGCAGCATACACAACAGCTGAAACCATGTGTCCAACGATACAATGTGTGGTAGGGCCCCTTTCAATCAAAGATTGGTGCTTGATGGAGGGACTGTATATCAGGAAGGGAATGAACGTAGAGAGCTTCCCTCTGCAAACCCATCACCCTCCCTCCATGAATCCCTCTCCCACATAATGTACCTGGGCCCTGGCTTGCTCTGTGGTGCTGGGCATCCAATGGGTGTTCTTCTTGAAGCAGGTTCAGCCCCTCCTCTACCAACACTGAGTGCCAGTAGCTCTCAGTAGGCAATCGTTCCACCCCTAGAGTCTTGGGTCCAGATAAAAGCTTGTCAGTGACTTCCCCGCTGCCTGGCTTGCTTTTCAGTGCACAGTCCTTCCCACAAACAGGCAGCACGGAAATCTCATCAGATCTCCAGTCCCCACATCCCACCACCCCAATACGTGTTTTCCTCATGTCTCTCTTTATAAAAATTCAAGTCAGATTAAAGAAGAAACTTGGAATTAAGAGTCTAACGATGATCATGAATCCATTGTCAATTATCAGAAAAACCCATCTGGTTCGCTAATGTCTTTTAGGGGAGGAAACTGCCATCTTTACCTGGTCTGACCTACATGTGACTCCAGACCCACAGCAATGTGGTCAAGTCTGTATATTCCACCTGGGAGATTATAAGCATGTCAGACCTTAATGAGAAGTATAGATAGATAGTGAGTTCCAATAGATTAGAGATTAGGGCAAAGGAACTAAGATTAAGACCAGTTAATACACTTAATGGTAAGGTCCTGGGGAGTGTTGCTGAACAAAGAGACCTTGGAGTGCAAGTTCATAGTTCCTTGAAAGTGGAGTTGCAGGTAGACAGGATAGTGAAGAAGGCGCTTGGCATGCTTGCGTTTATTGGTCAGTATAGGCATGGGTTGGTCATGTTGCGGCTGTACAGGACATTAGTTCAGCCACGTTTGGAATATTGCATGTAATTCTGGTCTCCCTCTGTAGGAACGATGTTGTAAAACTAGAAAAAGTTCAGAACAGATTTACAAGAATGTTGCCAAGGTTGCAAGGTTTGAGCTATACGGAAAGGCTGAATAGGCTGGGGCTATTTTCCCTGGAGCATCAGAGGCTGAGGGGTGACCCTACAGAGGTTTATAAAATCATGAAGGGGCATGGATAGGGTGAATAGGCAAGGTCTTTTCCCCAGGGTGGGGGAGTCCAGAACCAGAGGGCACAGGTTTAAGGTGAGAGGGGAAAGATTTAAAAGAGACCTAAGGGGCAACTTTTGCACACAGTGGGTGGTGCACGTATGAAATGAGCTGCCAGAGGAAGTGGTGGAGGCTGGTACAATTATAACATTTAAAAGGCATCTGCATGGGTACATGAATAGGAAGGGTTTAGAGGGACATGGGCCAAATGCTGGCAAATGGGACTACATTTATATAGGATATGTGGTCGACACAGACAAGTTGGACCGAAGGGTCTGTTTCCGAGCTGTACAGCTCTATGACTCTTCCTTCTGGGCAATTAGGGAAGACCAATAAATGCTGCCTAGCCAGCAACGCCCTCATCACACGAATGAATTTTTAAAAAAAATCTCAGATCAAGGTAAGGAAAGATGCTTAGATCTTAGCCCAATAAACTTCTCTGAAGAAAGAATTCTCTTTAAAAAAAAGCATTTTATTCAAAACATAGAATTTAAAACCCACTCAAATTCATCATCCAGTCTGTATTCAAATCACATTCAATTGAATTGTTCCACTGAGAAAAAAATACTGAAAGGGATTTATTATTCGAACAAAAAGATCGTAACAAATATGTAATTAGTACAATCTATCATGTTTAAATTTGTTTCCTTATCCCCATTCAAATATTCTTGAAAAACACAATCTAAACAATGTTATTCTTCAAAGGATTTTAAAAGCAAGGCCTAGGTATAATCACAGGTCAAGAAGAGTGATTGTAATAATTGAATGCTATTGATGCATTTTGAAAGCAAGTGTGGTCTGCAAATCCCAGACTCTACTTTCATATAAAATAGTCATTTTGATGAAAAAGTAATCAAAACTTCCCTCTCCTCAGGGAATGGCAGAGGCTTATGGGTAAAAAAGTGGAACAAAGACAACATAATTGATAAATATAGTTATCTTTTGACGAAATAAGTATTCCTCTATTATTCCAGTTAAATACCTATTGCCAATATTAGATTCTGCAGTCAAACTGGTCACAAAGTTGACTGTCCATTTGCTTCTCCCACCCACACTCTTTAACCACGAGGCTGATGCGTAAGGACACCCACACAACATGGACTGCAGTGGTTCAAGAAGGCAGCTCACTACTGCCTTCTCAAGGGTAAATAGGCATGGGGCAACAAATGCTGGCACTGCCAGTGAAGTCCACATCTCATGAAAGAAAATTTTAAAAATAAGTTTGTAACTCATTAGAATACTATCCATCTGTCAGGGGCTCGGTGCTGAATGCGTGCTGACGTGCACAGTGCTGAACTGAAAGGCAAATGTCCAGTGGTCCCTTGATTGAACCAAGAAGTTGCTTTGGGTGGTTGGGATGGGGACATAGCCACTAGTGCAGTGCCTGTTGGCAGGTGAAACAAGATAATGCCATGGCCTTTGCCCAACAAGATCAGAACTCAGAAGCAAGAGACAGCTCGATGATCCAAGGAAACTTAAAATTCCATTAAATGCACTCTGAAATGGCGACTTCAATGTAATTCTCAATCTTCACTTCACTACCCCTCTTCCACAGTCATCGAATAAATGTATTTGTGGGGTTGGTCAGGTGGGGGTATTGGGCCTGTGAAGTAAGGGCATGGGGGAGCAGGGGAACTGATGGAGGGGTGTGTCTGATCCAGGGGAGGGGGGGCGCAAGAGTGTCAAGCAGCGTTGTGTTGAGGGGCAAATGCAGGAATTGGGTTGTGCGGGGATGAGGCAGGTGTCAAGGTCAGGTCATAAGGTGAAGTTGCACTCAGGAGGAGTTGGAGATGGGGGTGCTCAGTGGTTCAGTTTAATATTTACCCAGTGGTTACAGTAGGTTTTTAACCCTGCGGTCTTTCCTAAATTATTAATAAGCTTAAAAGAGTCAGAACCCCCAGCAATCTCTGAATTTAACACCAAGTTGGAGAAGTTTGCACCGACTGGAAGGAGTCAGCTGCACCGAGACTCTCGCAAGATCCTGAAGAGCAACTCTAGTTTGTGCTGCTGCACCTATACTTTACCCATTGAAATTACTCTTTTTCTCTTTATTCATTCATGGGATGAGTGTGTCTCTGACCAGGCAGCATTTATTGCCCATCCCTAATTGCCCAGAGGGCAGTTAAGATTCAACCACATTGCTGTGGGTCTGGAGTCACATGTAGGTCAGATCAGGTAAGGATATTAGTGAACCAGATGGGTTTTTCCCGACAATCAACAATGAATTCACAGTCATCATTAGACTGTTAATTCCAGATGTTTATTGAATTCAAAATCCATCATCTGCCGTTGCGGGATTCAAACCTGGATCCCCAGAATGTTATCTGGGTCTCTGGATTAACAGTTCAGCGATAATACCACTCGGCCATTGCTTCCCCCGTACTTGGCCAATGTCCTTTGTACAGCACATTGCAAAAATACGTCAAGCAACCACTGTTCCATCCTGGCAAAAAGCAGCTTAGTGCCCAGTAGAGAATCAGTTAATCAAACAGGATATCTGAGTAAACAATAGTCTCACCTTAGGACATCTTTAATGATCTCAAAATCAATAAGAGTGTAAACCCTAAGTAAATGAATAATAATAACTACCTAACATTCCCGGTGAATTTTTATCAGAAAGGAATTGCTTATAATGAGATAACCATGTCACTCAGCAGGGTGTTTCAAGCAGCTTATCATGTACAATATAATTTAAAAAACAACTCATATTTCTTCTTTTATGGGATGAAGAAGTCACTGGTGGTGTCAGAATTCATTGCGCAGCCTCAATTGCCCTGGAGAGTAGTTAATGGTTGGCCACAATGCTGTACATTTCCATTTGCATGTGAGCTACTCCAGTGAAGAATGGTAGATTTCCTCCCCTAAGTGACACGTTGGAGCCAAATAGGATTTTACAGCACTTAATGCATAGTTTCATGATCATGTTTAGGTTCTAGATTTATTTTAATGGATTTCAACCCATTTCTCCTACACGTTAGCTTGGGTTTCTAGGTGAGGAGGCCAGCGACACTGCTGCTATAGAACCATCTTCTCTCAAACTCATCCAAAGAGAAGATAGTATAGCTGCTGCTGGAAATTAAAATGGTCACATCAGTGGAGCAGGGATCCTCTTCAGAATCTGAACTTAGGCATTTCTGGAAGACGAGGGAAAGCTTTACTTGGGAAGCAACCAGTTCCTGATCTGGGAAGGCTTGATGCTGGCACCAAGGATTAATGCAACCCGACAGCTTGATGATACTTCGCGTCGGCAGTCAGGTAAAACATTTAAAGGGCTCAGGCACTTAAAGAAACAGACTACTCAAAAATAAAAACAGGAGATTTTGCTCCAGGTATATACAAGACTCTCTGCAGCAGGTAAATTCCATCGCTTGATGAGTGTAAGAATTCAGATATTTTAAAAGATGAAAAATTAGAAGGCTATCATTTTAATGTAAGATTTCTTAAGATTTCTGGGAAACTGCCTGAATGTGAGTCCTCATAATCTCTGTACAAGTCTGTGCACTTAAACTAGAACCGTGATATAATACGCTCAGCATACAGAATTATCAATTTAGTCAATGTAGGTTTAGAAACACAAGTTGACTGAAGACATAAATAAAAGATCTACAAATTATTGCGTGGCAAACTTTTGAGCATAACTAGAATGGTTGGAGATTATATTGCATTGATAATAACACCCACACTGATGGTTATATTGTTATATTGCTTCAATGTGATTTAGGAACAATACATTGTACATGTGTATACATCAGTACCAACAGTGCTACATCATTTACTGCGTATTATAGTCAAGTGATGAGCAACAACGTATTGATCTGCAGGACATAGTGTGATCTACAAGATAGGGTTCGTGTGATTGGGTGGTAGTGTCTCTAACTCTGAGTCAGACTGGCTAAGTTCAAGAACAAAGTTGCTGGAAAAGCTCAGCAGGTCTGGCAGCATCTGTGGAGGAGAAAACAGAGTTAACGTTTCGGGTCCGGTGACCCTTCTTCAGAACTGGGGAAGAACTCAGAACTTCCTCAGTTCTGAGGAAGTGTCACCGGACCTGAAATGTTAACTCTGTTTTCTCCTCCACAGATGCTGCCAGACCTGCTGAGCTTTTCCAGCAACTTTGTTCTTGTTCCTGATTTACAGCATCCGCAGTTCTTTTGGTTTTTATTGGCTAAGTTCAAGTCTCACCTGCTCCATAGTTGTGTCATAACAGGCTTATTAAAAAAGAAATCTAATTCGATGAAGTCCTATTGTCGAACAGTGTGATCGCTTTGAACTAGTGGGAACCACAAGACAGAACACTGACACACGACGAGATAACAAGGTGTAAAGCTGGATGAACACAGCAGGCTAAGCAGCATCAGAGGAGCAGGAAGGCTGATGTTTCGGGCCTAGACCCTACTGTCACTGACACATGACTCAGGGTTCCAGGGTACATGGCAATGGTGCAATATTGTTAATCTTAACTGAATGACACAGGACAGGAAAAATGAAACCACTGGGGTCTTGATCTCCAACTTCTCATTGTCATTCCAAATCTACTTGGTTCCCCAAGATTGATGATAGTCGCAAATAAAATTTGGGTTTTAAATGAGTTGGCAAAATGCAATGTGAAGATCACTTCAAGGGCAAACATCGAAGAAGTAATTCAGACTTACTCCATCTGACGGGTGAGCAGTCCATCCCAATTCAGCTTGTGACTCTTTAGAATCCAGCAAAACAACTGAAATTTAAAAACACAAAAATAGGGAGAAAAGGCATTAATGAAAAGGCACATAAAAACTCAGTTTCTTGAGTGTCAATTCAAAGCACCAAACCTATTCTCTATTCATGGGGATTCTGCCCATATGGGAAGCAAGAGTAATTGAGGGGCAAATAATTACCCTTTTGACCCTGAGTAAAAGTAATCTTATTCTGGTCATAGCCGAGAT